TTTGAAGTGGACGACAATAAATTTTTTCGTGTAACGTTTATATTGAATGACACTTGATCTGCAATGTCCCGCGACTATTATAGGGCCTAGTACTAGACCACAAACCACACAGTCAACCCCGTTATTCCGTTTAAAATTAGTATTAGTATTAGTATTAGTGATAGATCGGCGGGAAATGCCCTGTGACTGCCAATTTTTATTGGTGAGTTAGACGCGTGTTGTTCTTATTTAGGAATTGATTTGGCGATTTGCGGATGTTTTTTGCGGAAAAATACATGAATATGTAAGTACTAATACTAATTAAAAAATGGGATAATTATTATTAGTCAGTTCAATTCGCCAAACATTATACGTTGAGAACCAATTACTGTTAGGCTAATAGAAAAATCACCTCCATCTAAGAAAAATCTCTCTATAGAAACATCTAGAAAAAGCTACCAAACGGTTTTAATTTTGTGAAATATAATAATAATATAATAATAAATTATTTAAATAAAAGTTATGTAATTTTTTTATCATTAAATAATGATTAAATAAAAGTTATGTAATTTTTTTATCATTAAATAGTGATTAAATAAAAGTTATGTAATTTTTTTATCATTAAATAATGACGCTGACTAAGAGTATTAGTATAGTACATTTTCAATCAATTATAAATGTAAGATGTGAGTATTTTAATAATTTTAAAAAAATATTTTTTTTTTTTGTTTTTTTTTTTCAATATCCTTATAAAGATCTTTTTTTTAAATACATTTATAAAGATCTTTTTTTTTCTAATAATTTTATAAAAACCTTTTAATAATTTTAATAAAAGATCTTTTTTTAAAAAAAATTACTATGTTGCCAGCTGTTGCTAAGGGAAGAAAACTAAACTTACAGTTGTTAGGAGGTTGAGATAAGTTGGGATTGAGCTAAGCACATAGTGTGAGTGTTTTTCATTGAGTTATTTTGTCAAGGTGTAAAATTATTTAATGTGAACGTTCTTCTTGGCTCTTGATAATGGTGACACATTATACTCATTATTGTTTATTGTTTATCAATCATCCAGAGGACCAGGTGACAAAGGGATTGATATTAAAGGAGTTGTTCGCGGGATCCCGTTCGTTTTTGCAAGAACCGGCACCGAGCAAATATAGGTATTATATCAATTATATGCGAATCACATTAATTGTGTAATTTTCAATTAATTAATATCAAACATTTGCAGGTCACCTGCTCCTGAGGCAAATAAAGGTGACAATAGGTGTCGTGGCGAGCCGCTCAAAGGAGAAGTTCACCTAAAACACTCAAAATCAACCTTTTTAATATCAATACTAATAATGTCTAATGTAGCATAGTGGACACTGTTGCAGATCACAAAAAAATGATCAACATAACATATGTTATGGTGAAAGTTCTTGCAAAAGTTTGATTATAAAAGTGTGAGATAATTTTGATCTTGCTGATGATCTGGACTTAGAGAGGCTACAGCTATATTCTAGTGAAGTTTCAGAAGCAACGGGCTCTGTGTAACCGCCTGACTATTATACAAATGACTGTTGCACAAAATGAGTGTCCATTATGCTCTTTATGGTACTAATGAATATACATGAAGTTGAAATTAAAACCCCAAAGTCGAAATGTTTCGACTTGAGGAAACTACATAGTAAAAATCAGTTTCAACCTTATTTTGACCCTATTTTGACCAGATCTGCAAATGGTCGAAATAGTTTTGACTTCATGTATACTAATGAAGTCTAAAGAGCAAGGTTCACTTTGGTTTATTGACTATTGTAATCAGCATAAAGCTGCCTTGTTGAAAAGAATCAATGTTTTTAGTGTAAATTTTCATGTGTATTTTAACCCATTATTGTGAGTTCGAAAAGTAGCTTTATTTTAAATAAAAGGTGCCAAAATATTTATTGAAACTTTAAGAAAATTTTTTATATATATCATTTTTTTAATCTATTAAGAAGTTTATGTGTTATAAATGTTAAAAGAAATTATTGGCATTCAAGTGAATGTTACATGCACTAATTAAAAAAAAGAGAAAGGATTTGCACACTGACTGTTATATACAGAATCAAAAAGTATGTTAAAAATTCCGTACCTTATATGCGGAATCAAAATGTACCTTTTCAGTATTATTATTATAATTTTCTTAATTCTGTACATTTCCTGTATACATCCATAAATTGTATTACATTGATAAATTCCAAAACGTAGATTAAATATGTCCATTACATATCTAAAAATTTATTCTGTATCAAATATAGGGAAATTCTTATACATTCATATGTTTATTTTCTATAGGGATGGTTGCTACCATCTTTGTGTCATATAAAAATTATTGCAACTGCTGGTTGCAACTGCCTTTACAACCATTTTGTTTCCTTTTTTGGATTGCAACATGGAACACTATATTCGTTTTGTTGGTTTTGTACATTTTACAAAATATAAAATATTAATTCACAACTTGATGCAACAAATATCTTTGTTATTGCTAAGGAATTGTAAAATTATAAATAAGGCTTATTTCCATCAGGAAATTAATTTAGCGTAAACTTGCATAAATCTTACGATGCCAATGTAATATTGTGTAAATCTTACAGTGCCGACGTAAGTTTTACACTTTTTTATTATTAAACTTACAATTGACACGTGTAAAATTTTTTTATATTTTCCGGATGATACAAGGGTCTCTCAAACTCCTAACAAGGAGTTCGAATCGTTTTAAAAGTATAATTAAATACTTAATAAGTGACGATTGTGTAGCACTTCCATACAAAATAATTTCTCACTAAGTAGAGGGAAAGTCGATGGATTCCGATTGACTGCTAACCCAATTCGTGGCTTAGTTAGTCAGTAGTGCATATTAACACCCCCTTCCTTCCTTTCCGTCCATCTGTCCATTCGTTCCCATCCTTTTTTTTTTTTTTTTTAAAAAACATAATAATATTAGATAAATATTATCAACAAAAATAAAATATAAAATATAAAACATAAGTACAATTGTTGACTTGTTTGGCTTTGTTCCTGATGGCCGATACAAAAAGTCCCAAGATACCTTGTTTTTTAAAAAACAATCATTATAATAATAATCAGATGAATATACAGTACTTAATGATAAATAGCATCAACAAAAATCATAGTATAAAATATAAAAAACATACTTGATAAAAATCAATAAAATTAATTATTATTGGGAAGTTTTTGTTAGATGGGAAGAAAAAATGTTGTTTGTAATACAAGATCAAAACAATAAATAATAACAAGAAGCTGATTTAGTGATCATGAATGAGCTGTGCGTCACAGATCAGATATATTAAGTGGTATATCATGTACAATGATGTGACCCGAAACTCTTTTGGCTTCCCGAAATAGTTTCGGGAGAAGAACCTAGTTTCTGTGAAAAATCCGAAACCTAAACTTCTCCCGTAACTCCCTAAATTCCCGAAACCTAAGCTCCTCCAGAAACTCCAGAAACTCCAGAAACTCCAGAAACCTAAACTCTCCCGAAACAACAAATAAAATTAGTATTACAAATAAATTAAAAAAAAATTTTTTTTTCTCCCATCTTATTATTGATTTATTAATTACATCTTGTTATAATCAACTTCATAAAATTAAATATATATTTTTTAATGTCTGATACAGATTTGTCTCCTAGTGAAGGTGCAGGTTTAGTTAGAACAAAAAAAAATTCTAAGACATTTGGCGGAAGACCATTATCTCAAGTTTGGGAACATTTTTTAAAAGGACCTGAAATTAAAAATAATAAAGGCCATTACAATGCTAAGTGCAATTACTGCTTGAAATATTTTGAAGTTGGATATCCAAATGTTCTCGAAAAACATTTAGCAAGAGAATGTGTTGAGTGTGATGAGGGAATTCGTAAATATTATTTGGATTCAATAATTGAAAAGAGCAAGTCTAGAAACAATAAAAAAAAAGCTCAAGATTCTCATTATTCAACATCCAATAACAAAAATTCAAATAATCGTCAAGTTTCTTTATCTGAATTCTATGAAAGTACAACCCTTACAAAAGAGAGAGAAGAAAGCATCAATAAATCTTTAATTCGTGCTTTTGTAATGGCTGGCATTCCATATAACACTATTGAGAACCCATATTTTGTAGATTTTTTAAAAAAATTACATCCAGCTTATCAACCACCAAATTGTAAAAAATTATCAATTAATTATTTAAATGATGAAGTGATTCATGTGATTAGCAAAATAGACCAGGATATTGAAAAAAATAAAAATATGACTCTTGGTAAATATATATTTTTAACAATTTATTATTAAGTGTTTTATTTTTATTAATTAATTTTATAATTGTTAATTAATAACCATATCCATAATCATATTTAGCTCTAGATGGGTGGTCTAATCCTAAGAACAAGTCATTCTGGAATTTTGTGGTTATAACTCCTCAAAGAAAAAGTTATACATACAAGTTATGTGATTTTTCAGGAAGTTCTCATACTGGAGTTTTTTTGTCTGATCAAATTGAATCAATTATTTTAGAAATTGGTGTAGAAAAACTCTCAGCTATTGTAACAGATGGTGCTAGTAATGTTAAACTTGCCCGAGAGTTAATAACTACTAAATATCCATCAATATTGAACATTAGGTGTATTGCTCACTGTTTTAATCTTATAACAAAAGATTTACTAAAACATGAATTTGCAAAAACTTTAGTCTTCAAGTGCAAAAAAATTATCAATTTTTTAAAAAATCATACCAAGCCAGCAATTTGCTTGAAGGCTACATTAAAACGCTAAATATTACTGGAGGAAGCCTAAAAAAGTACACTGAAACCAGATGGACCTCAATTTATGCATCCACAACTTCTATTATAAGATTGCAACCTGTATTTCAATTAGTAAGTAATGATGATAATTTGTAGTAAATGCATTATTTTAATCAACTTGTTTTATTTACCCTTTTATTTATTCAGATATTAAACGAGAATCCTGATATCATAACTAATGATGATGTTTTGAATATTTTAAACGGAAGAAATTTTTTTAAGAATTTAAAAAACTTAAATTTAATTCTAAAACCAATAAAAGAAGGGATTGAAATTCTAGAATCAGATAAAACAAATTTAGCTGACTGCTACTATCAACTTATAAAACTTGCTGCTTCAATTAAAACTATACCAAGTCATTTTCATTGCAGTTATTGTAATTATTGTATAAGAAAATTTAATTCTAGGTGGCTTGAATTTAGCTCTGATGAATATTTGGTTGCCTATTTTTTGCACCCTGGATACAAAGGTTAGATATTTGTCAATATTAATGTTTGTAAATTAGAAATACTCATTTATTTATTATTTTTTTTAGGAACTGGTCTCAAAAAAGGTCACTTTAAAATAATTGTTGAATTCATGGTGAATCATTTCCAAAAATTAAAGAGATCTGAAAGAGAACAAAATATTTTATTGGAACAATTGAGAAATTATAAATTAAGAAATTCATCATATAATTCACCTTTCAGTTTTGAAAGTGGTAATGTTTTAAATTGGTGGTATACGTGTGAAGAAGATCATGATTATTTGCAAGAATTTGCAATAAAATTATTTTCAGTGGTTCCACATTCAGCAACTTGTGAAAGGTCTTTTTCAATCTTAGATTGGTATTATGGAAAAAAAAGGCAAAATTTAAATATCACAACAATTGAAAATATGTTGAAAATACATTCCTATCATTTATCTAATACTGAGAAAGAATTAAAATATGTTGGTCAAAATATCTCGGATGAAGAATTGAAAAACTTAATATCAAATGCAAAGCTTTGGTTGGATGATGATGATTATGATTATGTGGCAGAGGAGGTGGAGGAGGAGAATAGTGTGTCAGATGACATAAGTGAATCAGAGAGTGATTTTTATGAAGTGGAACCTAATTACAAGATTGATAAAAAAAATAATTTTGTATTAGAGGAAATAATTGACTTAAATAATTCTATATTTACTGATGGTAACCAAAGCCAAATTCACTTAGATGTAGAAAATAATACAAATCAAATAATTGATGAAAATTACAAATACAATTCAAATGATTTGATAAATAGTTTTTTGAACTCATTTGATGATAGTGATATTATCAATATGAATAATATAGTTAATTTAGAAAGTGAAGCTGATATTGCAAATAGTTATATTTATATAAATAATGATGGTATTGATAATAACAACCATGATGATATTATTTACAATCAAGACAATTTTAATAATAAGGATAATAATAGTAACAATAGTAATGATATAGATGACTATAACAATATTCCAACTAACAACAACAATAAAAAAACCAACTTGAAAAGAAAAAATGATTGTGATGATTTACCAAGGAAACAATTTGAATTTAGAGATAGGAAGAAAAAAAATTATAAAATTTAAAAATAAAATATTTTAATTTTGTTATCAAAATTTAATTCAAATAAAAAAATTTTTTTTTGGTAAATTTCACTATGGTTTTTATTGAAGTTTTTTAATGAAGGAAAGGTTTCTTTTTGAAAGTTTCAGAATTTAAAAGTTCCCTAAACTTTTTTTTAACTCAGTTTTGGCAACAGTTTAGGGTTTCAGTAAGGTTTAGGATTTTAAAAATTCCCTAAACTAGTTTCTGGAGGTTTCTGTTTCTGGTTTTCCCTAAACTTGGAGTTTCGGGTCACATCATTAATTTAGGGTTTGGTAACAATTTAGGGTTTCGGCAAGGTTTAGGATTTTAAAAATTCCCTAAACTAGTTTCTGGAGGTTTCTGTTTCTGGTTTTCCCTAAACTTGGAGTTTCGGGTCACATCATTAGCCCTTGATCTCTCAGGGAAAGGCAATAATAATTCTTCGGCATATTGTATTTTGAATAATCTCTCAGATAAAGTGCGATTAAATCTTTCAACAATGCCCATAGTACGTTTCGAATTAGCCTTCTGAATTTTTATGCCATTTTTCAAAAATAGCCTCTCACAATCGCCCTTAAATTCAGAGCCCTTATCCGTTATTAATAATTTTGGCCACATAAGAGGGCATTTCGGATTGTTAAAAATTTTCTCAAAACATTCTGCAATCACGGCTGAAGTTAAAATGCCCTCCAGAGAAAAGTAATCATCATTCGTATCAAGTGTAGTTCCAATAGGCTCAGCCCATTTAAAACGTGAAGCTACATCTACAACAGTAAGGCAAAATAAATATGTAATTTTTCCGATTTTATCATAGGGAGTATAAAGGACATCAGCTTGTAGGACTTCATTTGGTACAGTAATATTGTTAAATGACGCATACGGAATATATTGAGGTCTAGAAGCATGTATCTGCCAACTTGCCTGTTTATGAAGCCATCCACGTAAATATTTTTTTGGGTGAAAGTTATATCCGGCTTTTTTTACATGCTTCATGAAATTTTTTAGCCGTTCTATAATAACCTTCAGGCCTATAATAAATTAGCCTACAAATCAAGTTTATTTCGGCCATAGGATCTATCAGAACTATAGGATCACAAGATGCCATCATTAGATGTACAAATTCAAAAGCTAGAAAAAACGCTATTATCTAATGAAGCATATATTAACTATTTGGAAAAAGAAATCTCGAATAGGGATGAAGGGCTAGGAGAGCTAGAAATTCTTCGTAAAAATAATATGGACTTACAAAAACGCCTTAAAAAAGCATTGTTAGATACAGAGTATAAAGAAGAATCCTTGGTTATTTTAGATAGCCGAATATCTAACCTTCAACAAGAAATAATTGACCTAAAAAATAGAATCCAAGATATAACATCGCGAAAAAAAAAGTTAGCCATGGCTCGAGCACCTAATGCAAATGAGATCCAGACCCTTGGTGAAACAGTTCGTAATGCATTCAATAATATCAATAGTATATTAAATAGAGTACCTGCTATACCATGAAATATTGATGGCGAATTTACTGATATTAGAAATGCCACAAATAGGCTCCAAGAAATTTCAAACTGGGAGACCAATAGGGCAAATCGAGCCCAAGCCCAAATCAATCAAGATGCCAAAACTATTATAAAATTAAATGCAGCAGCACGCATAGCTGATGAGGAACTAAGTTTGATGACTAGAGTTTATCATAATGAAAGGCAAGCACGTCGCAATATGCAATCCTTATACAATAAAAAGAATAGGCGGGTTGTTGAGCTATTGCGTGAAAAATTTGCTACCCAATTATTATGCACTAATAGGCAAAAAAAAATTGCAAAAAATAAATACGTGTCAGAATGATTTATTTCTTAGTGATATCCAAATTGATACTAAATGGGGCAAATGGAAAAATCGTTGCCGAAATTCTGAGCAAATAATTACGAATTTGAATCAAAATATTTTTAATTTACAGCAACAAATTTTAGCGCTAAATAATAATCCTCAAAATATGGCAACGGTTATAGAATGTTCAAACGTTATTGCCCCATCACTTGCAACTATCCCCGAATATATTGGACAAGAGCATCCAGATACTTGGTATGAACGAATTACAAAATTATTCTTGCACCCTATTATAGACGGAAATGTTAATTTTACTGATGCACATAAGGTAAGTGTATTATCAAGCAAAATGGCTGGCCCTTACCATCCAGTACCGGCACAAAATGCTTATGTAAATCCTGCTGTAAATATTGATACTCCAGCCCGTTTCAATGCCTGGCTACTTTCAAAATATGCCGAAGAAAATATAGGCGGTATGACTATGGGCATCCAGGCTCTACTAAGTGAAAAATTTAGCCCATTTGACACGCCTGAATCATATCGAGATAGAATACGAAAAATTTCTATAGGAGTAACTGATGCAATAGCAGTACCAATTCTCTTCCAGCAACTTCCACCAGATTTAATACAATCTGTAAGGATGTACACTACCTGGACAAAAGTATAGGGACACCTGCAGATCATCACAAATAATTGGATAAAGTGACATGACAAAAACTAAAAATTTTACTATCCCAATCACACTTGCTTATTAAGTAAAAATTAATTTTCATA